GCAGGTCTCAATGAGATGGCAGTGGCTAGCCATTCCTCAGCCAGTCGATGACATGCTGCTCCAACAGCTAAAAGAGGCCCTGAAGGAAGATGAATGGTTCAGAGATCACAAAGCCGACCTGACGATGAGGGAGGACCTGACATGGAAAGGAGACAAGATGTATCTTCCAGCCAGCCAGAGCACCCAAATCCTACAAAGGAGCCATGACATAAAGCCGGCTGGACACTTTGGATTTGTAAAAACCCTTCACCTGGCTAAAAGACAATTCTGTTGGCCCAAGAGGAAGGACATAGAGAACTATGTAACCAGCTACCCAGTACCAGGGAAGGCCCCTGAGTTGCTACAGCCGGTGGCTAACCTTATGGACAATGTGATCAACCAGGGTGGGGAGAAGGAGAAAGTATTGTTTAACAGGGCAAGCATTTGCACAGGAAACCAGAGCTGGTTTCGTTTCTTCAGTACCAACATGTTGTGTCCAATGAAGTTTTACTTTTAGAAATTCAATTCTCCTGAGAGTGTTTCCTTGTTTTGGGTTTGCTAATTGGACAGTTGACACCCTCATTGAAGGAATGGATTGGCCAACTACGAAACACCTGGATGGTAGTGTTCAAGGGGCTTCAAGAAGCCAGTGATGCCTACAAAAGCCAAGCTGACAAAAAATGGACTGAACCTAAAAAGTTTAACGTGGGAGATCGAGTATACCTCTCTACACACTACCTCCAATCCTTACAGACTTCCAAGAAGCTTGGGCCAAAGTTTGTAGAACTGTTTCCCATCAAACTCATTATTAATCCAGTCACAGTAGAACTAGACTTGCCCAAATCCTTACGGAAAGTCCACCCCATTTTCCATTGCAGTTTGCTAAAGCCTGAGGTAGTTTCCACTTTAAGACCAGCTCCTACTCCTGTCCCTGAGCCATTCATGGTGGAAGTGGAACAGCACTTTGAAGTTAAAGCGATTTTAGGGCACTATCACAGGGGCACTATCCAATACTTGGTAGTTTTGATAGATTTTTCAGCCACCCAAAATGAATGGGTAAACAAACAACATGTTAGAGAGCCTAAGTTGCTCAAGCAGTTTCACAATCAATACCCTGATAAACCTAAACAAGTCTAATATTTTGGTTTTGTCTGTTCTCTTTTCCACTGCAGGTGTGAGGTCTCTTTTTTCCAGGGGGGCAGCATGTCAGGTTCCCATTGAAACGCTGCCATTCTGGAGGGGGAGGGGACAGGTTGCTGGAGCCAGATAATTTGCATGCTTTCGCTTTTGCTGTAAAGTGTGGTATCTGGGGAGGGGGATCAGGTCTGTACGATGGATGCGCTTCCCCCCAGCCAGGTCCAACCTGTTACCAAAGTCACAGTGCCCTGAGAGTGAACTGCTATCAAGCTGAAGCCTCAGAGTTCTCATAACACCTTTGCGGCATATTATTGGCTACTGGTGGACTGGTGGATCGGTTGGGGGTTGAAGAGGGAAGAGTAGCTTAACGCCTTGAGTGGGAACTTCAGATTCCGCCTGACTTCTCTGCAATCACTTTCTCTAAGTAAAAGTTTCCTTTTGATCTACCACCGTTTCAAGACTCATGCTTTCCTGAGAACATAGCTGAGGCAGGTCCTCACATATTCTTTGGTCTTCAGCTTCTTTTATTTCATCTCTTCAAGCTTCCGTGCAGCTGATCTCAACTTGCTGGTCTTATTGTCCAGTCTAATCTTCCATTTTGGTGGCACACTGGCTTTTTTTGTTGATTTTGCATCCCTGGCATTCAGTTATAACTACAGTAGTACTGTACATTAGTTGACTTGTTTCTTGCACTGAGCTGGTGCTTATATTTGATATTGCAGTATTGACATTTTTTAATGCTTGTGCTAGTTGTTTCTTTGGAACAAGCTTCAATGCAGGCAGCCTTATTCTGATGATTTTTGTGCTGTTCTAGATGCTCAGTTAGTCTTTGTTTCAATTCTTCTACTTTTTTATTAAAAATAAACTTTATTAAAGATTAAAAAGAAAAATATATACGTGTGAAATACAATATACAAATACATAACAGATAAACATAAAACATATATATTTCTAAACAGCTAAGACGATGTGATCTTTTATTGAAAACAATTTTACTAATATTCATTTTCTATTTTTGGTATATGCTCTTATTCTAACCACTTCATTTTTCAAATCTTTATCTTTTAATTCGCTGGTTTTTTTCCTTGATCCAATTGTACCATTTTTCCCAAGCTGTACTATATTTTGAGTCTACCTTATCCCTAAGTTTTTGTGTAAGTAAGTCCATTTCAGTGCAGTCAAGAACTTTCTGAATTATCAAATTATTTGTTGGCATTTGGTCACCCTTCCAGCATTGTGCCAACGCAATTCTTGCTGCCGTGATTATATGGAGAATTAAATATTTCGTTTCTTTTGCATAGTCCCCTTTTAACATTCCCAACAAAAATATTTCGGCCTTAAATTCTAATTGTACATGTGTAATTTCTTTTATCCAAATTCTAATTTTTTTCCAGTACTTTTTACTTTTTGGGCAAAGCCACCAAGCGTGAAAGAAGGTACCCCTCGTTTGCATACATTTCCAGCAAGTCGGATTAAAGTTTGGATACATATTCGCTAACCTTGAAGGTGCCAGATACCACCGATAACACATTTTATATTGGTTTTCTTTATAAACAACCGATTTTGTTATTTTATAATTTTGTTTCCAGACTTTTTCCCAATCTTTCAGATTAATGTTGTGCCCTACGTTCCTTGCCCATGCAATCATTGGGCCTTTAACTATTTCTTCCGCCATTTTGAATTCTAATAAGTAATTATACATTTTAGAAATTAATTTTCATCCGTTCCCTCTAATATTTTATCTAATTGGTTTGGTTTTACCTCAATTCCAAATTCTTCTATGTCTTTTTTATATCTCAACTTAAGTTGTAAATATGGCCACCACTCTATTTTCATCCCTTGCTCTCTAAGTTCTTGGTTCGTCTTTAATCCTTCTTGGGAGTTTAGGACATCATAATATCTAATCTTTCTTCCAGTTTCTAAAGCATTGGGGTGGATCAATGCCTCCAAGATGGATAACCACCCTGGAATCTTCATATAATGTTTATTTTTAATCTCTTTCCACGCTTTCAATAATGAGCTTTGAATTACATGCCTATTAAAGTGTGTATAGCTCTTATTTCCAGGGTTCCACATGAAGGCATGCCCACCCCGCCTCTAGGTCGTGCCCTTCTAGGGTTAAGATTCTTTTGTTTCTCAGGTTGGCCCATTCTTTAATCCATGTTAAGACTGCTGCATTATAGTATAGTTCCCAGGCGGGGAGTCCACATCCACCTCTGCATCTATTATCTTGTAGTGAGCTTAGTTTTATTCTTGCTTTTTTTCCTGACCAAATAAATTTCATGGTAATTTTGTTTAATTCATTAAAGAATTTTTATCTAATTTAATTGGAATAGTTTGAAAAAGAAATAATATTCTTGGCAAGATGTTTATTTTGATAGTCGCAATTGTCCCTAACATTGATAATTGTAGTCTCCTCCCATTTTTCTAAATCCTTTTTTATTTCTAGTACCAGTTTTACATAATTGTCTTCTTTTATTGTTGAACATCTTGCCGTACGCCAAATTTCTAGATATTTAATTTTTTTAACAATTTGTATACCCATTGCTTCTACTAATTTCTTTTTTTCTTTCTCTGTTAAATTTTTTGTTATCATTTTGGTTTTGTCCTTATTGATTGTTAAACCTGCCACTTCTCCGTATCTCTCTATCTCTTTAATTAAATTTGGTTTTGATTTTATTGGTTCTTCTACAAAGAATACAAGGTCGTCCGCAAATGCTTGGGCCTTGTATTCTTCTTGTTTAATTCTTTGTCCTTTTATTTCCAAATTCTGTCTGACTCTCATCAACGAAAGTTCTAGTGTCATGATAAAGAGCAGAGGTGAAAGTGGACATCACTGCCTGACTCCTTTTCCTATTTCAGATGATTTTGTCATTTCTCCATTAATTATTATCCGTGCTTTTTGGCTTGAATATATTGACTCTAACATTTTTTTCAAATTTATCTCCAAATTTCATCTCCTTTACTTGTTGCCTCATAAATTGCCAGTTTATTTTATCGAAGGCTTTTTGACCATCCAGAAAAATTAGTGCAGCCTGTTTTTCTGGGTGCGCCTTGTAGTACCTCCAAGATATCTAGTACTGTCCTTGTGTTGTTTTTTAGTTGTCTTGTTGGAAAGAAACCATTTTGATCTGTGTGTATGTATCTACTCAATATTTTTTTCAATCTCTCAGCCATTATATTCATAAATATTTTGTAGTCAGCGTTCAATAAAGAAATTGGTCTATAATTTTTTATGTGGGTGGTATCTGCGCTCTCCTTCGGTATTAATGTAATGTATGCTTCTCTCCATGACATTGGTAGCTTTGCCCCTGTAAGTACTTCATTATAAATTTCTAAAAGAATTGGATCAAATATTTCACCTAAATTTTTATATAATTCTACAGGTAATCCATCTGTTCCGGGGGTTTTGTTGTTGTTTTTTTGTTTACTAATTGCCTCTTTTAGTTCCTCCTTAGCGATCACTTCATTTAATCTTTCCCTTTCTTCTTCTGTTAGTATTGGAATATTTTCTTCCTCTAAATACTGTTTAATTTTCTCTTTACTCATATTTTCTTGTTTATAGAGTTCACTAAAATATTCCAGTACTATTTCTTTTTTCTTTTCCATATTGTTTTGTATCTTTCCCTCCTTATCTTGTAATTGCTGAATCCATCTCTTTTCTTTTTCCTTCCTTAATTTATATGCCAGCCACCTTCCCGGCTTATTAGCATTTTCAAAATAATTTTGCTTTACTAATTTCAATGCTCTTACATTTCTTTCCTGTTCTAATATGTTCAGTTTATGTTTGGCTAAACTCCATTTACTTATGATTTGCTCGTTCTGTTAATTGCTCTTGTCTTTCCAATTTTCTAATATTCTGTAACTCATTACTTTCCTTTTCTTTTTTCTTTCTAGCATTATATGCTATTGTTAATCCTCTCAGATAGGCTTTTGTTGTGTTCCACAAATTCTGTAAAGAGGTGTGTTCTTTTGTATTTACTTCAAAAAACATTTCTAATTCTCTTTTTAATTTTGTTAAATATTCTTTATCTCTCAGAATTTGTGGGTTCAATGTCCTCTTTGTTTTGATTGGCCTTTCCATGTTGCTATCAGGGGATTGTGATCCGCCCATACATTTGGTGTTATTTCTATTTGCAGTATGTCTTTCATTAGGGTTTTACTTATCCACGCCATATCAATTCTGGACCATGATTTGTGGGGAATGGAATAAAAGGTGAACTGTTTTTCTGGACTTCCGCTTTGTCGGCTTCGCGAGCGGCAGGGATTTGCGAAGCTGCGCGATCCCTGCCGCGCTAGCCGCTTTTGGGGCTCCGACCCAGACGGGTACGGAGCTAGGCTGCCCTGCAGGGGCAGCTGAAGGTAGGGGGGATCCGGAGAGGGGTTTGGGGGTGTTGCAGACCCCCTCCCTGGCCGGTAGAACCCCCTTTTCCCAGGACGGTGCAGCGGCGGTCCGTAATGGCCGCCACAAAGAAGCTGGCAGCCGGGTAAGAATGCGCAGGAGGAAGTGGAGAAAGTGCTTGAAAGGAGAAAGTTTTTCTTGGCTTCTAGGACTCTAAGACATATTTAATAAAATTCCTGAAAAGTATGACTTTCTGAATAATACCTGCCAGAAGAGGAAAAAAGCGGCAGTTTGATGGTGCTGAAAGGATAGCTTACCCTCTTTTCCTACGGAATAAATAACTGGATATTAAGAAACCTATTTTTTTTAGGTGAAAATTGGTTTTAAGCGATGAGTGGGAAGAGAGAGGATTAAAAAGAAAATATTTGTATGCTAAGTCTTTGTTGGAGGAGATGCCTTAAGGATTTGAAGACTAGAATATATTGCAATAAGATTTTAAACAGATTTGGACTTTCTTTCTCTTGGATTGATATTACCCCAGAAGGAGAAAGTGAGAACTCTGCCTTGGTTTGGACTGACTGATAATTTTGGGACTGTTTTATTTTTTTTTATTTTCTTTGGAATATTCTGGTTGTTGTAAGAAGAAAGAAGGGGAAAAGAAAAGAAAAGATTTATAATGGCTTTTTCTGTTGAGGAACTAAGAAAAGAATATGAACAAGCAAAAAAAAAATGGTAAAGATGGTGTGGAAGAAGCTTTCCTTTTTTTAGAAATGGCGCTTGCTAACTATCAACAAACATTACAACAGATGAAGGCAGCAGAGGAACAAGAAAGAAAAGAAGGAGCCATTTTTAATGAATCTCAGAATTTGATCAAGAAAGAAGGAAGAGAGAAAAGAAGAGAACTAAAGGACTTAAGATCTAAAAAAACATTTAAGAAAGGGAAAAATAAGGTGCAAAATCAATATGATGATAGTAAACAAAAGGGAAAAGGAACACGACAGAGAAGGGAAGCCAGTAAGGCAGAGGCTAGAAGAAGGGGGGGTAGAAAGGTTTGTTGGGAGAAGAAAGAAAGGGAAAAGGTGGAGAAAAGCTACAATGTTTTGAAATTAAATGAAAAAAAGGAATTTTTTATGGATAATGGATAAAGTATAATTTTTTCAAAAAGATTTTGCAAGGTACATAAGATGAGATAGTAGTATTGTAATGGTTTAAGAGTTGATAAGAGATTAAAATGTTAAAATGTTTAATAATGATTGGCTTTAAAATTTAATAATAGGGGAGGTTTAGAATACTGTTTTAATTAAAGAGTTTAATAAGATTATGGTATTGATGTTATTATAAAATTTTTATTATAGTATTTGTTTTTAATATTTGGATTTATTGTCTAATTATGTATTTAATTATTTTGGATGTACTAGTTAGATAGAATGTACCAAGCAAAATCGGATTGGGTATTGGATGTTATCTTAAAGGTTAATTTGATTAATTTAGGGGGGAGATAGAAAGGCATCATACTCTGATTAATGATTTCAGGAGAAACTTATTTTCTTCTTTTTTATAAGGAATGAGACAAAGGGATGATAAAAAATGGACAAAAGATACAAATATAATGATTCAAACTAAGATGATTAATTAAGATAGAATTAAGAAGAGTGAAATATGTGGAGAAGTTAATATAGAAGACTTAGAATGGTAAATAAAATACATAATGATATGTAAGATGAGCATGAAGATAATTGAAGTCCATGAAGAGAGAGATACCTGGGTCCAAGTTACTTTCCAAAAAGATTTTTTTTATGTTTTGTGTGTTGTGTGTATATGTTTTTTTGGGGGGGAGAATTAGTAAAAGCTTGCAGAAATATAGAATGAGAATAATGGTAACTAAGTCAGAAAGAAATAGATGAAATAATAATAATGATATTGAATAAGAGTAAAGAGAAGTAAAGGGAAATTGAATAAGAGGTTTTTGTATGTTATATGGAAATGGTTTAAAACAGAATCATAATTTATCTGACTTGTTAAATTTACAATGAAAAAAGGTTTAAACATGTAATGAATAATGATAATTTGTGTGTTTTAAAAATTAATAAAACTTGTTTTAAAAAAAAAAGGTGAACTGTTTTTCTTTTGGGTTATATATTCTCCAGATATCTATTAAATTTTGTTCTTCTGCCATATTAAAAATGTTTTTGGAAGGGTGTTCTTTTTTTTTACTAGTGCTTTGGTAGTCCTTTTTTGTGTCCGCAACTGCGTTAAAATCTCCTATCATACAAATATCTTCTTTGCCTAATTCTAAAATTTTCTCATGTATTTTTCATAGTATCTTGTTGTTTATGAGAAGCATAAATTGCAACGAGTAAAAGTTTCCTCTGTTCCCATACAACTTCTAACATTAATGTTCTCCCTACTGAATCTGCATATAGTGCTTCTGCCTCTATTCCTTTTCTAACACAAATTGCTACCCCTCTTTTTTTTTCTTGTGCTAGTGCTGTATAAAGTTTTCCTAATTTTTTATATTGCAAATATTTTTTATCCTGAGTTCTAATGTGTACCTCCTGGAGGCACACTATATCCATTTTTTGTTTTGCCAATTTCTTAAAAGTTTGATTCTGTTTCAATGGAGAGTTAAGTCCATTTATATTTACTGACAGTATTTTCAAATTGTTTTCTATTTTCTTTCTTTGCTGCTATAACTAGTTCCTGTTATTCCTTGCCTCTGTGCTCTTGTTCTTACTCTCTTCTCTTCTTGTGGTCTTTCTTCTCTTTTCTTTTCCTCTTCTTCCTGGTCTTTTCCATTCTTTTCCAATTGTTGATCATCTTGGCTGACAAATTCCAGTTCTTCTGTGCTGCTACCAAGTTCTTCTGTGCCTACCAGTTGGGTGTGGAAGTCTCGTGCCTTATCCAGAGTGTCTATCTTGATCTTCTTCCCTTGCTAGGACACCAACATTCCCTCCATCTAAATAGCATGTTGTTTTTGTTAATCGGGCAGCCAGAAAAAGATATTCTTTCTGTTGCTCACATACTCTTTTCAGGATTTGCTTTAATATAATAATTTCTTTTCCTTTGTAGAATATTGGCTCATCTCTAGTAATTTTATAGATTATATCCCTCACTTTTTTTCCATGCAAAACGGATGTGCACTTCTTTAGGCAGTCTAAATCATCTGGCGTAGTTGGTGTAAACTCGGTAGACTTCATCCAACTCATTGATTATCTCCCTCTTGTCTCTTTGGAGTGCTTCTGCAATTATCTTGGCCATTATTGCTGTTAAGTCTTCCTCTAGTCTCCTCCACATTCTGGAAATGCAAATAAAATGAGGCTTTCTCCATCTCCAGCCGGATCAGTGAGTCTTCCACTTCCTTATTTCGTTCCTTCATTCTCTGGTCTACTGACTCTAATTTCTGCTCTTTTCCCTGGATGGATTTGGAGTTTTCATGAGCTGTAAGCCATAATCATCGTAATTATGACAAATCACGGCTTGAACTATCTTGCTTTGCATGTAATGAGTCTATCTCATATATTAGTTTCACCTTTTAAGTTGTATTACTGAAATAAATGAACTTTTGCACATATTCTAATTTTTCGAGTTTCACCTGTAATGCAGATGTTTCAAAACACTATAATATAGCTTATTATCTTGGTCAATGTGACATTCTATATTAGGTACAGACTCTGAATCATCCTTGGTAGCAGACCAATGAAAACTGGGTTGCTATAATTTAATCAAAAGGTAATTAAAGTATACAAGTTGCTAACTATCTCTTCCTGCAATGGACAAGATGGAAAACCAAAGTTGTTGAGAGATGTATCAGCCATAATGGTTACCTGAAAGTTCAAGGTGGGATCTAAAGCACTACAGTCTTCAAACCTCTCCTACAATAGGAATGACAAATTTAATTCCACCCATTCAGCTTTCAAATCTGCTTTGCCTAGATCAGAAATATTACTCAATTCCAATCAACATCAACCAGCATTGCTTAAAAGAAGCTTCAAGTTAGAGTTCCACAACAACCAGAAGAATAGAATAGAATAGAATTCTTTATTGGCCAAGTGTGATTGGACACACAATGAATTTGTCATGGTGCAAATGCTCTCAGTATACATAAAAAGATACATAAAAAGAAAACCATAAATACTACATCCCTCAAACTAAATCAAAATTCATGGAGATCAATTAGCTAAGAACTTCTCAGACATATCTTTGAAACAGAAGACAATGGAATATATTTGCTGTTTAATATATACTTTAGAAACAGATGCATACAGGAAAATTATAATTCATAGAATTACTAAGTCAGTCTTAAAAACAGCAGAATTTCTTCAAGAGACTTTCTATCCACAAGACTTGAAACACCTACATTACTACTGCATGAGACATCAGACCAGACAATGACCCATGTCTCTAGTATGACAGAAGAAATGTACTCCTGAGATAGTTTCATGGCAACATGCTCTGTTAGAAAATTAAAATGTATCTTAATATTGCTCTTGTAACACAAGACACTTCAAAAGAAGTCCTATTTGTGTCTAGTTTCACAAGACGTCACACTGAGATTCTAAATAATTCAATAGTAAACCTGATTCCACCTTGCTATGACATCAAACTGAATTAATTTCAGTATCATATTTAATTAGCCAATCCTTCCAGAAATGTTGATTTGACTATGAACCTGAGCAAACACTGTGGGACACCTTAACATGTTTTTTCCCATATTGGGAAGAATAAGGCATATCCAAATTTGCCAGATTATCATTCATATATATATATATATATATTTGTTTTCTTAAGTTTTTGCAGGTATTTATATATATGGTATTCAGCTTTGTTCGGGTATTTTCCCACGTCATTATAGTTGTGCTTTTAAAGTTGTAGCAACGTTTCGGCAGAATCTCATCTGCCATCATCAGGCTTCTGCATTGTGTTCGTCTGTGAGTGAGGCTTTCACAGCTGTTTCTGTTTTAAATTTGGTGCTAGCCTGCTGCTGTGCCAGAATGGTTTTTTCTTCATCCTGTTTGCTTGGGAGTCTTGGCTTTGGGTAAACGGACGGCTATCATTTATTAGGAAGCTAGGTTTCATTTGGGTGCCTGGTTGGGGTGTGTTTGAGCTGGAGGTATCAGGGGGGGGGTCTGTTTGTGCCCAGGTGTTTGCCTGGCTTGTGGTGTGGAGATTTTTTTCATAACCAGCAACATGAGCAAAGAGATCCAACAGACTATCATCCCAAGAGAAAAATCTTCCAGATGCCCCAAACTATACGGCCTCCCCAAAATACACAAAAAAGGCATACCTCTCAGACCCATAGTCAGACCCCCCAATACCTCCAGCTCAAACACACCTGATGATGGCAGATGAGATTCTGCCGAAACGTTGCTACAACTTTAAAAGCACAACTATAACGACGTGGGAAAATACCCGAACAAAGCTGAATACCATATATATAAATACCCGTGAAAACTTAAATACACACACACACAATACACACACACACACACACACACATAAAAGCCCTTCATGGAATGGGTCCAGGCTATCTGAGGAGATGTCTTGCCCCAATGGGACTAGCCTGCCCCACTTGCTCCAGCAGAAAGGGCCTGCTGCAGACTCTGTCTATTAAGGAATTCTGGCTGGCAGGCTCAAAGAGAAGAGGTTTTTCTGCCATGGCTCCTGCCCTTTGGAACATCTCCCCTCGCCCCAGGTGAGATCCACACCCACCCTTTGGTCTTCCAAAAGGGTCTGAAGACCTGGCTCTTCCAGCTGGCCTAGAGTCTTGCTCCCTTCCTCCCCATCTTTCTCAATTTTAAGCTAGTTTAATGTTACTATTTATTGCTTTGAAGGTTAGGGCTAGGGTTATTGTAAATTGCCTAGTTACCTCCAGGTGAGATGGGTAGCATATAACTTGAATAAATAACTAAAAATAACATTGTCACAAGACCTTTAACAACTTCCCATCTTGAAAACAGGTAGTCCTCAGGTTACAATTGGGAGCAAAATCAAAGTCACTAAGTGATGCAGTCATAAAGCGTGAAATCATGTGATGACACATTGCTTAGCAATGACAATCCTGGTGGTCCTGGCTGCTGTTGTAACCCCAAGATGTGCAGCTTGTTAAGTGGGAAGAAGTGAGGGTCCCAGGTAAGGAATGCAGGGGTTGCCGTATGGAAGTTAGGGGAGGGCAGGAGAAAAAGCACTATCAGAGCAACCTGTGACACTCCCTGCTTGCTTCCCCGTTGGTTTTGCTTGTGGGAAACCAGCAGGGAATGTCACAAATAGCAATTACATGACCACAGCTCCCAGTGAAGTCTATTTGCAAGCTGGGCACCCGAGTGCCTAGACCACAAGCACATGTCCACAGGGATAATATAATGGCTGGAACTTTGAGGACCAATTGTACGTCCAGTTTTTCAGCACTGTCATAACTTCAGCACTGTAACAGTCATTGAACAAATGGACGTAAGCAGATGACTAGCCATACACAGTTTAACACTATAAAGGTGCTCTTGAACTGCAAATTACCATGGTTTTTACTTCATATATTTTACTTCCTTTTCATCCTCACTGCTTATAATTCATGCCTTGTGCACAATTATTCATATTTTTAATGTTTATATTACTCAGTGATTTTCATAAAAATTGTGCATGTAATATGTTAGTTTGTTGATGTTCCCAAAAAATAATCTAGTTTTCTGACTATTCCTCAAAAGTCTTACCCAAAGTTTCTGGAATGTTTCTTCGCTCCCTTGTTACATCTGATAGCCTAATAATTGTCCCTTCTTTCCGTTCAGTTTTGAAACGTAACCGACCAGACTCTTCATCATCTTCCTCCTCCTCATCTGATTCTTCTTTTGTCTCTTCCTGAAATTCCAGATTTTCAATAACTGCCTGTAACAGAGGAGGACAGGATATAATACTGACCTTCACATTTAAAAGGCTTTCAAATTAAAATAAAACTTTAAATCAGTGTGGGAAGTCCTTCATATGTAACATCATGTATACTGCCTATATATGGTATCTAAATGACTCTAAATCATGTATGTTTACTTCACCATGCAATAATAAAATACAGATCTTTTCTTAAAATTCACATTGTTCAAAATTATACTACTAGGTGAAATTTCTGCACCCAATGCACTAAAACAGGGGTGTCAAACTCAAGGTCTGTGGGCCGTATCCAGCCCGTGATGTAGTCGAATCCGGCCCACAGAGCCATCCTGGTCTACCCAATGCAAAGAGGAAAGATGTCAGGGTTCCGACAGATGCCCTAATTAAATCATGAGCCACAAACCAAGCTTCAAAATAAATCCAGTTATTTATTAGGAGCTTCACGTTGGCATGGACAAAGTGGAGCCAACTCTGACCTCAGTTAATTCACGCTTTGCCTCTGACCCTGTTTCCCCCTGCCCCCAATATGTGTCATCAGTCACATTCCCCAACAAAACAATTTTGTGGGTTGTAAGTCACTCCCTCCGACCACTGTGGGTTTCCGTTGAGACGACCTTGGCTTATCAGTTGGAATGTGCTTTGACTGAGATGCCAGCTCCTTGATGCAGCTGTGAAGTTCACTTTCCCATCCCCCTTGCCTATGGCAAGTCGAGAGCAGGTCAGGGATGCTTCGCGACTGGACTGGAGTGACAGTCCAGCCTGGCTTCAGCCTGGTCTAGCCAATGTGAAGAGGAAACATGCCAGCAGTTCAGGGAGTGGCGTCAATCTAGCCATGCCCACCCAGTTGGCCACACCCACCCAATTGGCCATTGATAGAAAAAAAGGTGATCGAGAAAAAGAACGCCTGTCAAACAATGCAGCTAAAGCTTCCACTCCTGACTTCAAAAGAAACCAAGTATGAAGAAAACCTTAAGCCCAAATATAATCCCTTCCCTCAAATACAGGCAGTGAAAGCTAAGAGTGGCATCTAGTTTCTTGCATAAGAGGAAAAGGAAATAAATGCATCACAGAAAAATAAACGAATTGCTTGGGTAATAACTGGTCTTCTCATGGATGGCTGCCTTAAGTCACTCCAGATTTCTTGTCTCTATCTTCTAACAAGACATCTGTTCATCCATAAGTTTTGAAATGTCAAGGATCAGAATTCTTTTGGAATGGAGAATATATAGCACTTATATTACACATTTGGCCAAGATTTAGGCTTCATCACTAACTTCTATGACTGTTTCTCCTTTGGTGCAGGGGAGAAGGAAATCAAATTGAGCAGAGAATCAGAACTATCAACAGAAAACTGTGTACACAAAGACTTACTAAAATGTCACTCAGACACAACTGAGTTGTTACTTGAGGTTTTTAACATCTACTTGCAAGCAGATAGGTCAGTGGTGGCGAACCTATGGCACGTGTGCCAGAGGTGGCACTCAGAGCCCTCTCTGTGGGCACGCGTGCCATTGCCCCAGCCCAGCTTCATCGCGTTTCTCTGTTGCATTTCTCGCCATTGTTTGCAGGACTAAAAAAATGTGTGAAACAGCATTCCGCCTTTGTTGCGGTGCATTTGCTGTTGCTGCCGCCATGGCCTGCCCCTTGCGCAGCACAGTGAAATTTAGCACGCTTCACAATGGGGGAAATGGGGTCCCGTCCTCCTGGAGCCCATTACGACACGGAGCTGCAATGCAACCCTGCATCGTCGTGGGCTTGCTCTCGCCTCCCGGATGTCAGTTGCTTTTCCTGCAGAGCTGCCAGTGTTGGGAAGCCCTGCCTACCCGCTGGTCCTCAGCTCTCCAAAGAGAGAGAGAGAAACAGAGGGAGGGAGAGGGAAAAAGAGGGAGGGAAAGAGAAAGAGAGAGAAATACAGAGAGGGAGGGAGAAAGAGAAAGAGAAAGAGAGGGAGGGAAAGAGACAGAGAGAGTGATGGAGGGAAAGAGAGATAGAAAGAGAGAGAGAGAGAGAGAGAAAGAGAAACAATATTACAAAAGTTTTTCTTTTTTATTGTTGCTAAACGTAATATTTCAAAAACAGGAAAAAAATGAAGGGGCATAAAAGTGCATTTATCACGTTTTTCTTAGAACAATTAGCTGAACTCTGCCTTGTATATCATTATTTTAGGTAGTAAAACCTCATTATTCAGGTTAAATTGCCATGTTGGCACTTTGCAATAAATAAGTGGGTTTTGGGTTGCAGTTTGGGCACTTGGTCTCTAAAAGGTTCGCCATCACTGAGATAGGGTCATGTTGTCTATGGATTAACAATAATTCATGACAATACTGTGAACAGATGAATGAAACTGCTTCAACTACATATAAGTAATGCTAGAAAGAGTTGACTTGGTTCCCCCAAAACAAAGTGAAAAAAGATCAAGGATTTTATATCAAGCAGAAGATATTTCAATGTGCTCCTAAGCAGTTTTGAATTTCTGGTCACAAAGAAGAGTAAGGAAGAAAGCAGTGTTCTTTTTGTGTGTGTCAAAAGCATTACTATAGAAAGGTTTAAGGAAATTCAGATATAAAAAGTAAATGGAAAGGTGGCTAATGACTGGAGTGAGCTCTATTACTCCACTGCTACCGTGTTTCCTCCAAAATTCTGTGGGGGTCTGCAAGGCTTCTAGCTTTTTATGGTCTGTCCACACCTCAAAAGGCACCTGGCTCCCCTCCAGGAAATGGCACATCAGCAATGCCCAACGCAACGCAAATGCTTCCTTCTCTCAAATTGCCCATTTCTTTCTGCGTCAGTGAGCTTCCGGGAGGTATAGGTGCAGGGTTGCAACTCGCCTTTGTCATTGCGCTGCAAAAAGACGGCTCCAACGGCTCCGTTGCTTGCATCAGCCTGAATAACAAAGGGCTGTTCTGGATCTTGGTGTTTGAGGATCGGCTCCTAGGCGAACAGGCCCTTCAGAGTTTCAAAGGTCCACTGGCACTCCATGGTCCACTGGAGGGGTTGTTTGGGATGGGGCTTGGTCACTGCAGGTTTGGTCTTTAGAAAGTCAGTGATCGGCAGAGCTACTCAGGTGAACGAGGGGATGAATGGTCTATAGAAGTTCACAAACCCCAGGAAATGCTGCAACTGCTTACGCGTCCTGAGCACCTGCCATTCCAGGATGGCTTTAACTTTTGCGGAATCCATCTCCACCCTCACGCCGGATACCCAATACCCCAAATAGTCCAAACAGTTCTGGTGGAATTTGCATTTGGACAGCTTTACGTACAGATTCACCATGAACAGTTTTTCTAACACCTGCCGTACCAGGTGGATATGCTCGTCCATTGTTTCAGTATGTATTAGAATATCAACCAAATAAACCAACACTCCATTGTTCAGGTGCTCATGCACCTCATTGATGAGCTGCATAAACGCAGGTGCCCCCTGCAAACCAAATAAACCAAGCCTTAAACTGGTAGCTCCCCAGTGGACAGTTGAAGGGCGTTTTCCACTCGTCCCCTTCCCTTATGCAAACCCTACAGTACACCTCCCGTAAGTTCAACTTGGTAAATATCTTGCCCCTGGCCAGGTGGCCCAAAATGTCCTTCATCAGGGGTAGCCGGTTCATATTTTCTACACACAGTATATGCCCCTAAAGGCCACACAGAAACGCATCAATCCATCTTTCTTTTCTTTAAACAATACAGGGGCGGCATTCATGGAGCGTGCTGGCTGGATGAACCCCCTGGCCAAGTTCTGTAATGGTGACTATCACAGTTCCGAGCCTAGCCAGTAAGGGAAGAGACCACACTGTCGGTAGAGCAACTCTCCTTTACTTTTTCTTGACTCGGCATGAAGTGACACAGATTTAGTCAGCATTAGTCTTCTACCCTCCAGCTGATTATAAGGGCTCAGCACACCCCTCCCTTTGGGAAGGCTTGCTCCAATAAAGACTCATCGTCATGCCCCTCCCTCCAGGAAGGCTTGCTCCAGAAAAGAATCATTGCTGGCCTTGAACACTGCTGCTCCTCTCCTCCCTGCTCTGTTGTCCCACCCCTCCGTGAGACCCTTGCAACACCCAACAACCCACACCCATCCACACACCCCGTGCAACCCCTTCCCCCCTCACTTGTGGCAACTCTGAAAGGGCATGCAGGGGCATGGCCTCGATGTCACCATCACCGACATTGACATACCTCTTCTGACTCATTTGGAGGTGTCTGGGTATCAACAACTTCTTCTAATTCTTCTTCAGCTTCATATGCTTGTTTGATTACTTGCTGTTCACTGTAAGACTGCAAAAATCCTTCATCCTGAAAGAAATGTACAAGGAAGCCTTTCTTTTAAACTAATTTTAGTTTCTAAATATATCACTGCTTATTTATTCAGAAGGGGCTGGTATATATGCAATATTCCCAACTTGTTTGCCCTGATTAACAGGCTAGAAAGAAGTCACAAACTTCCATACTTCTGTAGGTTTTCCATCTCCAGCAGATTTACGTAAACCAGTGTTTATCAGTTAATCAGATTTAAATATTGAATGGTGCTTAAGAGAAAATGTAATTAATACTAACCATGACAACAACTGTATACCTAGTTGCAACTAAAACTTACTTAGGATGAGTAAACAGGTTATGAAGGGTGAAATGTAACATTACTTCTATGTTTAAATAACTGGGAGCTAGAACTGCACTAATCCCAAACAGCACATTTAAAACCATATCCATATGATGTAGCTATTTACTTTTTGCATCAATAGCTAATTAAGAAGATTAAAACCCCCAAGATTATAATACATGAAAATAACATAATTATTGCAGTTTTTTTAAAAAATAGCAAGCTAGGAAAAATTACATTACTTATTTAAAGCATATATAAAACACTCCATAAAATAAAAATTACTCTCAAAGCATGAACAGCTCATGATATGACAGCTCATATTAATTCCTTTAAAATGTAGGATTTCAGGTTTTATTTATCTAACTAATTTGAGTGTAATACAATATCTGTTATTTTCCATGAAATCTGTTTTCTCATTTAGTATGTCTTATGCATCTAAGAATAATATACAGAATTTTATTATGTGATTTACACACAGGCTTTAAAGCAAAGATAAAGGACTAATAAATCCATTTACATTTGCCAGGGTTTTTTGGGAGAAATACCTCTAATAAATGACAATAAATCTATTCATATTTCAGCTCAGAGCAATCAGTGCAGCAAACCACTGAAACTGAAACAAATTACATATGTGACATGTAACCTCAAATCCCTATTCAGGTTTAAACAATTCTCAATTGCAAAAAATGGGGGTGGGGGGTAGAAATGAGTGAGCAGAACATCACTCACTTTGGAATATTAGCACCTTAAAGATGTCTTTAACAGGTCAATAATCTTTTCACCTTTGAAGGATTTATCAGATCTTGTCTTAATGCTTTTGCATTAAGTACTTCTCACAATTGGCAGTCTCCACCACACAAAGGTGTTTTCTTCCTTAAGGATACAATCTTCACGGTTATGATTCTCAACAGCCTTCCAGAAGGAAAAACAGCTAGAGCTCAACACAAACTTTGTCACAGTTTAGATCAGGGGTTGCCAACCTTTTGGACTTCAGGGACCACCAAACTCATAATTTTAAATCCCGCAGACCACTAATTTGAATTTTGACTGACGGTGGTTTGCTGACGTTGGTGGGAAAGCCACTCTCCAACCAGTGTAACAAAATGGAACTATTTTGCCATTATATTACAATTTCTTTTTCACTCAACAACCTCTCTACCCCAACTATTATATTTATCAGCCTGCAATGGGCCGGTAATATAACATACAAGAAGCCTTGCCAAAAGGCTCCGATTTTGTGATAGGGACCCACACCACAAATACGTGAAACTCTTGATTCCTCCACCGTCCATGGGAGAAAAAAAACATGGCGACACAAGGAACCAGGAACCTCCCCTTCAGAAAAAGGAGCGGCCAGCCAGATGCAGTTTTACACCCAGTGCCCCGAAGGACTGCAGAAGCCGGGCTGGGGTGCTCCTGATAAACACGTAACTGGGGGCAGGGGACGCATCCTCGGGCAGGACTGCAAACAGGACACCCAGGAGCCGGCAGAGTTTAAGACAGGGGAGAAAGCAGCGGTAGAGGGAGGGTTTCCTTCCCCCTTTGTGGAAGCCCGTTTGGGCACCGCCTCTTCCCTTTCAGCGCTGCCTCCAGCACCGATTGGAAGTTCAGCCGCCGCGGAGGATGGAGCGCTTCTCTGGCTGCCGTGCTTTGGTGACGGGTGCAGGAAAAGGTAGCGTCCTCGGGGCTGCGACACTGGAGCAATGCTGGCGCTTTGGGGACGACCCCCGCCCATGTTAGCATGGTACAACAACATTGTGCTTCCCTTTGCACAGGAGTTCGGCCAAACTACCTGCAAAATCGTCTCTCTCGATGGGCGCTCGATAGTTCGCAGATATCTTGGCCGCCTGTTAGCAGAGAGAAGCAGCTGGAGTCACTCTTGTCTCTTGAGAGCTTGGCTGTTTCCCACGCCGCTCGCGCTTCGACTCCCAGGGACAGGAGTTCAGCCAAGCTACCTGCAAAATAGTCTCTGTCTCTCGAGGAGTGCTCATGGAGAAGCAGCCAAAGTTACTCTCGTCTCTCAAGAGCCCAGCCAAAGTTTCCCGCACTGCTTCTGCAAGCGCTCCTAGAGAGAGACGATTTTGAAGATAGCTTGGCTGAACTCCTGTCCCTGGGAGTCAAAGCGCTGAAGCGGAGATTTCCAACCCCACCACAGGCCGGTCCCATATTCCAGAGCTGCAGTAGTCACAAGACTGGCCCTTTGGTCATCCTGGAGCAGCTCATCGATGGCAGGCCAGTGCACAGGCCAGTCCTGTGACTAGTGCAGCTCTGTAATATGGGACCGACTTTCCCACCAACGTCAGCAAGCCACCCCGGGGTGGATTTCCCTCCCCCACTGTTGGTTTTACCTTTCAGTTCCAGCTTGCGTGGCTTTGCACTCGGCCGAAGGGTGGGGGCCAGCCTGTGGACGGGCCATGTGGGCGGCACAGCCTTGTGTTCCCGCGGGCCATGTGGGCAGCGCAGCCTTGTGTTACCGCACAGCCTGGATTAATTGCTTTGGGGGGGACATTTCTCTGCGGACCACCAAAATTTTCTTGCGGACCACCAGTTGGCAACCACTGGTTTAGATAAAGAAACTGGCGGTCAGTCTAATTTTGCTCTGATCCCAAGGGAGGTAAACAGGTTTCAAATCAGTCTAAAAACTTAAGCATATGTAGCAATGTTATCTCAAAAACTAAAATAAGAGGAAAAAACTCACTGGAAATTCATCTAGAGGTTCATTGATTTCAAGATCCAGCACTTCATCATTATAATTGTCTTCTTCACCCTGATCTTCACCATAGCCTATTTGGTCTTCTGTCAACTCAGTCTCTTGGCCTTCATATTGTCCTTCTGAATACTCCTCTGCATATTCTTCAGGAACATCTGATTTGTCATAACCAATTTCATCTTCTCCATGTTCATACTCTGAGTCTTGTTCAATAGATGGGTCATTAGCATTCACTGAGAGCTCAAATGATGTAACCATGCTAGATGCAGCATTAAGACTCACAGTGACACCTTGAGTACTACAATACAGCAAAAAAAGATTGTTTTTAATTTAAACCAACACATTAATTAGAACAAAAGTGATGCGCTCTACATGGAGCTGCCCTTTGAAAAGTATACAGAAGCTTCAATTGGTTCAAAATGCAGCGGCCCACATGGTTATGTACAGGCCTATGTGTGCACATGTTACCTCTCCTCCAGGAGCTGCATTGGCTGCCAATTTGCTTCCAGGTCCAATTCAAGGTGCTGGTTGTCACCTTTAAAGACCTACATGGCTTGGGACCAGGTTATTTGAAAGACCAGTCACATCTACCCAACCTACCAGAGAGGGGAGGCAGGGAATGCTGCAAGTCCCCTTTCCTAAAGAGGTACAACTAGTGAGACCAAGAACGGCCTTCTCCATGGTGCCTCCTTCCCTTTGGAACATCACTCCCACGGAGATTACCCCACTTTAACATTCACAAGGCCCTAAAGACCTGGGCCTGGGGAACCCTGAGTGGGATGGAGCCCATCAAGTGGCTTGCTTTACTAATTGTCAACAGGAGGGGGGGGGGGTATTGTTTTTTATTGTTTTTATATGAGAATTTTATCTTTGTAAGCTGCCTGGAGTCACTGAGAGTGAGTTGGGCAGCCACACGAATTTTCTTAAATAAATTTGATTTCATGCCACAAACTCACAATATGCATACTTATATTACTTTTTATCACCAGTTGTGGACTATTTGACCAAACGGATCAAAGCAAACATAGTGCATTCAGAAAGCATTCAGACCCCTTTCACTTTTGTCGATTTTGTTTTGCTTCAGTCTGATTCTACAGTTGTTGAAATTCATTTTTTTCCTCATTAATTTTTCTCATTAACTCAGTACCCAATAATGACAAAGTGAAAACATAATTTTAGAAATGTCTGTAAATTTATTAAAAAGAAAAAAACTGAAATATCACATTGGCCTAAGTCAGGGGTGTCAAACTTGCATCACGGTGGTGTCACGTGACGTATTGGGACTTTTCCTCCCCTTCCCTAAACCAGGTGTGGGTGTGGGCCAGCGCATGACGCATCTGGCCCGCAGGCTGGGAGTTTGACAGCCCTGGCCTAAGTATACAGACCCTTCACTTAGGTACTTTGTTGAGGCACCTTTGACAGCAATTATAGCCTCAAGTCTTTTGGGGTATGATGCGACAAGCTTTGCACACCTAGATTGGGGGATTTCCTGCCATTCTTCCTTGCAAATCCTCTCGCTGTCAGGATTCTGGCACTTACCCCATTTAAATCATGAGTCTTGAGCCAAACTTCCAAAACTTCAAAAGGATTTATTGGGAGTTAAAAGGTGCGGCATTGCCTGGGTGTAGCTGACTCTAAGATACATCATTCATTGTCACCCTTGACCCAGGTTTTTCCCCACCCCCTGGGTGTATCGTAATTCATATTCTCCAATGGGACACATCCATATCTAAGATTTAATAAGCGTAAAGAAAATAAGAATAATGGAGAAAATTTACTGGAAAATGGAAGTAATGATATGATATAGAATTGAATGTGAAAGATAAATATGTACTAAGGTCATGTTTGCGTTGAAGTGTAAACCTGGAACCACGTTGTTCACTGAAAGAGATGTTTTTAAAATATAAAAATAATAATGTATTACAAAAAAAGAGGTTCTTTGCCAATAAAACGTACCAACTTTCAATGAATGACGTAATGATTCTCTAGGAGTTTCTTTTTACGCTCTCCCTGAAAACTATTTTTTTTGTTTATATCCTGTCTGCCCTTCAGGAACTTAATGCAGCATATACTCCCTCCTTTATTTCCTTACACACACACAACTATAACCCTGGGAGGTAGGTTGGGATGAGAGTGTGATTGGTTCAAAGTCACCCAGCAAACTGCCATGGCTGAGGGTGGAACTAAACTTGGATCTTCCCAATGCCATTTTAATTTGTCAATCACAAAAAACATGGCATGCAAAAGTCATGGAAACGAACAAATTAGAAGGCAGCAATAGCCAGACATGTTTCAAAGATGCACTTCTGTCCTGGCTGTGAAGTTAATGAGATTACAATTCAACTGTTATACTGAGTTGTGCCTGTCAGCCCCCTCTGAGCAAGCTGATTCCTGAATAAGGAGTTCAGTGTCAGAAGTTTTCTGTTGTTATATATAGCCTTCTGAATTATAAATATACTTTTATATGGCATTTGCTATATTTTAATTAATAGGCAGAACTGATTAAAGACAGTTATAAATACTGATAGAAGAGAATACTTGTAGCTCATGGTTGAACTGTGGGGCCCTTGGTGCTCTTGGCGCTTGGTTGAACCAAGCTCAGAGAGCACCAAGGACCCCACAGTTATAAAACATCAGAGGTTGAACAATTGTGCAAATGAGAAAGAAGTGAGATCAATTCTCTGTTTTAATGTATTCAGGTGATACTTCTATCAATCAATCAGAATAGAGATGGAAGGGACCTTGGAGGTCTTCTAGTCCAACCCACTGCTCAAGCAGGAGACCCTATACCATTTCAGTCAAGTGACTGTCCAGTCTCTTCTTAAAAACCTCCAGTGATTAAGTTTCTCGTTAATTCCAGGTTGCTTCTTTCCTTGATTCTCTCCCTTCTAATAGGACTAATTTCAATCACATTGATCTACATTGTTTTTCTCTATGGCTGTACATATTTCAGTATGTTCATTTGGTTGTATAATAATGTTTCATAAAAATTGTAAGTGTTTCAATACAACACAGTTCTGAACCCTGTTGTACTGCCACAACTGCTTAACACAAAGCAGAAGAAAAACTCAGAACACTTCAGGGGAAGCTCTTTAAAGAAGCCCTCAAAGAAAAATCATGCATAAGCTGACTGGTTGAATGGTCTTGTTTCCCTCCACCAACAAGTAGATGGGAAAAGATATACAGTATACTCAAAATGAACAAGAAGGTAAAAAGACAAAATATACTGACAATGTACCCAAAATAACTTCAGCATGACAATTCAGTTAAAAACAGAATTGTACAAATGTATTCTTAATGCAAATGAATAAAACAGCAGTTGTTAATTCAACTTTGCAGTTAAGATTATGCATACATGTAGCAGACCAGGCGTCCTGTTTCTTCTTGGAGGCATTTTATCACAGGTATTTTTTTAATCAGTTATACTTACTAATAATTACATGCCTAATACTTACATGAAAGAAAAGTGATATAATTATGTTATTTTTATTGACTAAATTTTTATGCCACCCATCTTCCCTACAAGGTGAAAATAGCAATAGCACTTAGACTTATATACTGCTGCACAGTGCTTTATAGCCCTCTCTAAACAGTTTACAAAGTCAACATACTGCCCCCAACAATCTGGGTCCTTGTGATGACCCGGGGCACAGCACAGAGGCAACACAGTCAGCTGACAGTTCAAACCGCTCCTTTATTGCTCCAAATGTTCCCCAAACTCTCCCACATTTCTGGCAAGTCCCAGAGAAAAGTGATCGATCACACACACACACACACACACTTCCAGCAGCCCCTGGCTGCAAGTAGTCCAGCACAAAGCTGTGAGCACAACAGCTGCAAAACAAGAAGTCTAGCAGGGCAAGGGAAGAAGTCAATTAGTCCAGGAAGCAAAGGAACAAGACAATTAATCCAGGAAGCAAGAAATAAAGCAAGAAGTCCAAGAAACGTCCAACGTTGGCAATGGCACACAACCCTCCATGAATTCAGCATTTGTTCCCGACAAATGGCCCTCCCCATAGCATCTCAAGTCTCAGTCCCCAGGTGTGCCTTGTGGAGAGGGGTGGGGCAGTCTCCTCCCAAGTAGTCGGGTCAGCCTGCGCTGTTTCCATCTTTAATCCACTCTCTGTGCTCTAGGATCAGGAGGGGGTAGTCCTTGCTCATCGCCTGAGCTCTGTCTCTCATGTTCACTGCTTATCCTCTCTTGGTCATCCTGCCCCCGTTCCTCCCTGCCTACAAGCCATCCCAATCCTGAAAGGCCCTGGACTGACTCAGCCTGCTCCTCCCCATTTTCCTCCGAAGCCAACGAAGCTGCCCCCTTGATCTCTGTTGGCTCCAGTTCTGGCTTGTCTTCCTCTGCAGATTCAGGCTCTGACAGGGGCATGACTGTCCTCATTTTACCAACCTCGTAAGGATGGAAGGCTGAGTCAACCTTGAGCCAGTGAGACTTGAACTGCTGGCAGTCAGAATTAGCCTGCAATACCGCATTCTAACCACTGCACCACTACAGCTCCTATAATTAGAGTTTTTCATTAAAACAACTATTTCTAAGGATTTCCTAGAAGTAATTAAATTTGTGGAGGAGTTTACCACAGCTCTGAAAAAAATGCATCTGGGAAATCAGGTCCTATACTACCATTATTTTGTGTTTTAAAACCCAGCCAAAAATGAGTTGAATTCCTACTCATATAATTGCACAGAAACAACAATGTTCATGTATCACTTTTGGAGCCTCAAATGTTAATCCTTTTATCCCTAACAGCACATTATATGTGCTATTCTATCATTAGTTATTAGCAAATAAATAATCTGAATGTACTAAACTAGAAAACAAGTTACACTATTTGGCTCAAACAGCAAAACACAAACCTGTAATGTTGATCCTCTTCATTATCGCTTTGCAGAAGATCATCATTCAGTTCTTCATCTGACATATCTGACTGAGTCTAAAATTGGGGAAAAAAACAACAACCCTTGAACTGATTTTAGAAGCTTATAAAAGGCCATATACTTCCTTTATTTTCCCTGTGACGGTCTTGAAAGAGGAAAACTGACACCAAATTCTTCCTCTTCTGTCTCCCTCAATTACTTTATTCTGGATCTGGAAACAATAATCCCCAGAAGGGATCTGTGGTGGGTAGACAAGATAAAAGCTGTCCTGGATCCAACAATCTCTTCACTCAGCCCACCTCACAGACTTGTTGCTGTTGTGTGAAAAAAATAGATTTAGTACTATACTTAGACACAAATTAATAAAAATGAACTGATAACAAACAGGCAGGGCTCCAACAGAGCATTTGGAGTTCTTTACTGGAACAGCAGGAGACAGATGATCCTAAAAAGTCAGGAGCTACACCATTGTAGTTTATTACAAAGTAACGTAATCAAATTATTTTTTCCCATATATGCAAGCATATACTTTAAACAGACTGATTTACCTTTTTGCCAGTCAACATATCTTCTCCTAGTAAGTCATCATCTAATTCACTAGAAAAAAAGAGATACAGTAATCAATTCTTCAAAACAGTGGCAAAGCAGTTCCTTTGTCAGTATCATTCTACTTTACCCAAAATATACTTGAAGATCTCAACAGCAATGCAGACTAAAAAGAGGGTAACCTTATTTTTCATTAAATGAGAAAGACACATTTCTACACTTAAGTCAACTAAAGCAGAGAAACAGAATTGCTTGAGCATGGGGCTGGACTAGAACAGGGGTCTCCAACCCCTGGTCTGTGGACCAGCACCAGTCCACAACATGCCAGAAACCAGGTCCCACAAACAAGCAAAGCCCTATTCACGGGATTCAGGCAGCACACAAAACCACACCCCCTCTGGTCTGCAGAAAAACCTCTCTCCATGGAACTGGTCTCTGGTGCCCAAAAGGTTGGGGGCCACTGAACGAGAAGACCTCCAAGGTCCCTTCCAACTGTGTTACTCTGCAATTCTGCTAAATGTAAGTTAGAATTCTGATTAATTCCAAAGAAAGACAGTTTCTACTTCAATAGCACAGTAATTCACACAGAATTCTCTGAAACATTTTCTCCCACTTAATACCTAACAAAGCTGAAGTGTACTAAGTCAACAGAAAGGGTCCTAATGTGCAATTGCACAAGAGTCTAATTCAAAGGTGTGGCTTGTTTTAATTCTTTACAAGATAAGCTGCAGTTTAGTTTAGTTTAGTTTAGTTTAGTTTAGTTTAGTTTAGTTTAGTTTAGTTTAGTTTAGTTTAGTTTAGTTGTTTAGTTTAGTTTAGTTTATTGCCATTGCACATCGTACAACGAAATGAAATACCATCTTCAGTGTACTATACAGTAGAATTCAACACAGTTACTGCCCTGGGATAGGAACTGTTCTTCAGCCTATTTGTCCTTGTTTTTTGTTTGTTTTTTTGAAACAAATTTTATTAGTTTTAAAGACAAACAAACCATCATTAGCCATTGAGTACATAAAACCTCTTTCCATTATAAATTTTTACAAGTCGGATAAAAAATTATTTTATAAAACATAATTCTATTTTACCCCATTTCCATATGGACATATAAATATCTTTTAACAAATTTCTCATTATTTCTCTTTACTCTTATTCAATTTCATTATTATTATTATTTTTTCCTATATTTATCCATTTTATAGTCATCATCTTCATTTCTCTCTGACTTGTTTACCGTTATTCCCATCCAACATTCCTCCAAGGTTTTATCAATTCTCAAACAAACATAAACACACAAAACACAAAAATATAAAACTTCTTTTTAGAAAGTAGCTTGGCCCCAGATTACCTCTCTTTATATGGACTTCAATTAAATTCATGTTCATCTTATATGCCATTACCTATCTTATTTTTTTTTTAAACAAACTTTATTAATTTTTTTTAACACACACAAACAAAACATAGGATGCAGTGACATAAAATATCTTTTCTAGAAGAAACAAATAAACCATCTTATTTGAAAAGAAGATAATTCCAAATTATCACACTTCTATATATATATTTATCTTGTAATCAACTTCATATCTTTTCAAAACTTTTCTTTATTACTCCCTTTCCTTCTATTTAATCATATTTCTTCTGCCTTAAAAATATATACTCATTGAATATATTTTTATTAGTATTCTTCCACATCCTATCAGACTTAAACAAACATTACACAAAACATAAATACATAAAGCTTCTTTTTGAAAGGTGGCTTACCCCGAGTTAACTCTTTTTATACAGACATCAATCAAAATTTATACTCACTTTATATTCTATCTCATATCTTATTTAGCATTCTCTAATTTTCCATATATTTTCTCACTCCTACTCATTCTTTTAATTCTGTTTTATTTATTCTGCATCTTTGGTCCGTTCTTTCAATCACCTACTTTCCTTTCTATCTAATACAATATTTCTCCTGTAAACCCAAATTGAAGTATGACAACTTTTTATCTTCCTCCTAGATAACACTTGAAATAAAACATATTTTCCGTGCTGATTCTGCTCCGTACATTCAAAGTATTACATTTCAAAATAATAAAACAAACAAATAATATTGAGTTTGATAAGTAATAATAAAACTAAAAACAAGTAAGAAAAGAAATATTAAATTTATAATATAATAAAAACAATGTTTCATAGGAAATTAAATTCTATTATTAATTAATATTTCATAAGAAATTAAACTCTATAATTAAATCATGGCTTCCCTTTAATACATTTTTAAATCATATAATATTCTAATTTTCTAACTCAGCTTCAAATACTAATATCTACAATGCATTCTTATGTATTTTTGCAGAATCATTTAAAAAAAAAATTCTCACCCCTTATCTCTAAAAGAAAAAATCATTTTTTAGCATCTTATTAAAAGCCTTTATGACTTCTCTTTCCTTTTCCCCTTTCTTTCTTCTCCATTCTAACTTTTTGACCCCCCCCATCTCTCCAATTTCACTCTCTTACTTCCCTCTCTGTTGTATTTCTCTTTTCTGTTGCTTTCTGACATCATATCGCTTTTTCATCTCATTTTTCTTTTTCTTGGTTGCTTTTTTAAGTTCTAAGTTCATCTTTTCCTTGCCCCCCTTCCGCTTTTCTTCCTCCACTAAGTGCGTATGTCCATTAAAGATGGCTTCTTCTCCTTCATCGTTGTGGGTAGAAATCGCCATTTCCAAAAATGAAAGATAGGTCCAGAAGAGCCCTTATCTTCTTTTTTCAGTCTTTGAAATTCCATTTATAATCCTTCAAAAGATGATGCCATTTTTTCTTTCTTTCTTTTTTAACGCAACCCTAATGTCCTAATGTCTTTAATCCCCCCCCCTTTTTTAACAATCTTTCACAGAAATCTCAAATTCACAAAGCAAACCAAATCAGAGCAAACAGTTTCATTTAGCACTTTCTTCTTTGTACCTTTTCACCTCCTTCAGGGTAGAATTCAAATACACACTTCCAAGAAGATCTTCTAGAAGTCTTAGTCTTTTAATAATCCTTTATCCCTTGGCTTTAAGTTTCAAAGTAAATTACCTTCGGTGCCCAAGTAGATTTTCCAGATCTCCGTCTGTTGTTTCTATGGGGAGGGAGAATAAATAAAAAGCTTCCCCTCCAGCTTTCACCGCAGCTTTCCGAACTTCTTTGGGAAACAATATATCCTCAGGCAATTCAAGCAATTCAGTTTACAGGATATTTAAGAGTTGTTAATTGTCTCGGCTCAGCCAGCCTTTTCATTTCTCCAGCTTCCTCCAGCACAAATCTTACCTGGCTGCAGGCTTCTTTGTGACGGCCATCACTGACCGCCGCTCCACCACCTTGGGAAAAAGGGGTTTTTCCGGCTGGGGAGGGGGTCTGCGACACCCCCAAACCCGTCTGGATCCCCTCTCTCTTCGGCTGCCTCTACAGGGCAGCCATATCCCCCAGACCCATTTGGATCGGGGGCACCTTGGCAGCAAACGCAGCAGGAATCGCGAGCTGTCGCGAATTCCTGCTGCCACCAAAGCCATGCAACCGGAAGGGCCCATTACCTATCTTATTTACCATTCTATATCTTCTATATAGCTTCTCCCCGCTTTTCACTCTTCTTAATTCTATTTTATTTATTTCATTTTAATTTAAATCATTATATTTGTATCTTTTGCCCATTCTTCCCAAATTATCCATTTATCTCATTCCCTATAGTAAAAAAAAGGATTTCTCCTGGAATCACTAATCAAAGTATGGTGCCTTTCTATCATCCCCCTAAGTTAACATTTAAAATAACACCTAGTTCCCAATCTGATTCTGCTTAGTACATTCTACCTACTAACTTTTTAAAAAAAGAAAAAATAGTAAATCCAAAATGATTAAATACGTAATTAAATAATAAATCTAAATATTAAATCTTGTAACATTCCAATTATCTATTTCAAAAACAAATGCTACAGTAATAAATTTATAATAACATCAACACAATAGTCAATTAAACTCTGTAATTAAACTCAATGTTTTAAACATTCCCTTTAATATTTTGTTAAATTTTGAAGTCTACCATTACTAAACATTTCAATATTTTAATCTTTTATTAATTCTTATAACATTCTAATTTTCTATTTCTAATACAAATACTACAATACCATCTTATGTACCTTGCAGAATCTTTTTTTTAAAAAGATTATACATTACCCTTTATCCCTAAAAAAAATTCCCTTTTTCCCATCTTGTTTCATACCTTTGTGGCTTTTTCCCCCCTTTTCCCTTCCTTTTTTTTCCCCCCCGGCCTTTTTTCCCCCCCCCCCCCCTCTTCTAACCTCCGCCTTTTTAGCTTCCCCTCTCTGTTGTATTCCTTTTTTCTTTTGTTTTCTAACATTGTGTTGATTTTGCATCTTATTTTTCTCTTTCTTGGGTGTTTTTTTAAGTCTTAAGTCCTTCATTTTCCTTCCTCTCTTTCTCCTTTCTTTCTTAATTAAACTTTTGGATTCATTAAAGATGGCATCTTCTTCTTCTGCTTCCTCCATCTGTTGTTGTGTTTGCTGACAAATAGCAAGCGCCATTTCTAAAAAATGAAAGGCTTCTTCCACAGCGTCCTTGCCTTCTTTCTTTATTTTTCCATATTCCTTTCTAAGTTCATCAACAGGTAAAGCCATTATAAACCTTTTCTTTCTTCTCTTTTTTCCCCCCTCTTCTTCTTAAAACAACCAAGATGTTTCAAAAGTTGAAACAATTCCCCCAAGTCCCAGAGTCATCAATCAGTCCAAACAAAGCACAAAGTTCTCACTTTCTCTTCCTGGGGTAATATCAGTAAAAAGAGAGAGAGAAAAAAAAGCCCAGTCTGTATTTTAAAGCCATGTTGCAATTAATTTAGTCTCAAAATCTTCAAGGCATCTCCTCCAACAAGATCTTAATATATATATATTTTTATCCTCTCCCTTCCCACTTATAACAAAGAGCCAAGTTTTTACCTTCTATAAAAAGACAGGTTTCTCAATGTCCATTTGTTAATTCCGTAGGGAAGGAGAGTAAACTTTCCCTTTCAGCACCTC